ATGAAGCAGTATGGATATGGCGGGAAGAAAGGCTTGAAAATATTTTGCCTCATCTGAACGAAGAATCTGAGTAATCGTCAAATTATATACCTTGCACCCCTCACATCTCACCGACACTGACTCGTGACGAATAATTTTGTGGCAAACATAAAGGTCCGGTTTTTTGTTAGATCCAGGCACGGACCAAAAAAAAACATTCAGGAATATGTTGCTCCCAAAGCAGAAAAACAATACAATCTTATACAACAGCGTAGAAACCGATGTCGTGGAATTGTTCTTAATTCGCGATGTTGCTAAAGGTTTTTTGCAATATGCTTAAATTACGCAGCTGAATTTTGTATACGTTGAGAGAAATCGATGATACAAAAATTCCTTTACTAATATGAATTCAACTATATAATGTAGGATGCATAATGACGATAATTTATATTATTCAAAAAAGTTATTGTAAGTATAAAAAGTTATGGCTATGCCAAAATCCATGACATAATTATGGAAGGTAGTCTCATTTGAGAAAATAATAATTGCAACCCTTTTTAATTTCTAACAGCCTTACTGTACAGTTTAGTGAACTGTGCGTAATTTTGGAGTCAGGTAATCAGAGGTAAATACTTGTTTTCTAAGATTTCTATTTTTAATGAAGATGATAAAATAGGTTATTTATAACTCTCACGCAGTGTGTGTGTGCAGGTCTCAAGTGGAACGTCAATAGTGCGTTGGTAAATAGAAATAAAGATTGCTGCACACGGCGTGTTAATGGGTCACAACATAAGAGTGCATTGTCTGTGTGTATTTTTGGGTGATCGTAAATAAAGACCATAAATGTGTCCAAACCCAAATCTATTTACACATTCAATGTATGTATTTGAAATGCATTGTAGTTCTATGTATTAATATATATGTTTAGAGTTAAGAAGATATTTTAAATAAAATGAGTTCACCTCGAACCACGGAACTGTCAACACCGTGCGTTTCTTTTTTCTCTAGTTTCTCCCGTCGCACATTTGTGATGAGATCAGGAGTCATCTCATCATTTGGTTACCCCGAGGTGATAGGCGCGTAGTGCAGAACAAACTACGTTGGTTTTTCACATAGTGTTAGTGACGTGATAGGCGCGTAGTAAAGGACAAACTACGTTGGTTATCGCTATGTTAGATATGCAGGTGAAAGCAACCCGTGCTAAGTCTACACGTATTGTGTTGGAAAAGGCGCACTGTTGAAGCAAAGGCAGTGTTAGTCGTTTTTTGTCGTGGTCAATACGTAGTGAAAAGTACTACCAAGGTTTACCCGACAAAATAGTTATAAGGGAATAGGAAGTCGAAGAAAGACTGTTTTTATCTCGTTAACATAGATGCTTTTCATAAGAAGAAAGATATATAATCGTAAAAATGAATTTTGAACAATTCATTCAACATCAAAGAATGTTGGGCGAATATATCTCTATTCATTTAAAACTGAGCAAAATTGCTCAAAACGTGTGGCAGGATAAATTTTAGAGAGTTGTGTACGATTAGCAGATTCCTTCATAGAAGCAAGGAGGGAATTTTTGGATAATGAGGTGAAGCTTCATCGTATGGGAAAAGTTTTATACGAACATATCGTATTCGGTTTAGGAGTAAGATATGCATTTGACGAAATAGAATTAGGTATGTGGAAGAGGGGTATATTTGTCCCCTTAGAGGCTCCACAACTAGTAGAAGTAGCTACGTTGAACAGTTTAAGTTCGGTAGAAATATGCCAAACTAAGGACATAATCCTCCTACCGACAATGAGAATAGACGATCTAGTTAGTACACTAGATCGTTCATTGTGTGAGTTGGAGGAAGAGATACAGAATGCTATTCGTTTTTCCTGCGGATAGCAAGCTCGCAAAATGGTTTCATTTTCTTAAAATTTGTTTTCAAATTTTAGATAAAGAAGTAGGAAATATAGACGCACATCTTAAGAAAGTTAAAGAATTAGGGACGATTCAGACGGAGACGGAGGAAAATGGAAACGGTCACGTTGATGTTCCGCGAGTCGGTGTGGAAGTTGAAAACAACAAACCACAAATAACGTGTAAACTGAAGCATAAAATAATAACGCGAAAGTACAAACAATAGAGACTGCAAAGAAAAAAGATACAGTTGAAGAAGAGCTGCCATCACGGAATATATATTATGCCTCTAGAGGAAATGTGCAGCAGATACCAGAGCCAGACACAATACTCACGGATAATGTTAATACTAGCGACTGGGAAGAAGCTGCAAAGAAAGTTGCTACTGAGAACCTGAAATGCCGTAGTGACAGTGCAGAGAAAACCACACCGATGACAAAGGTCACTGGTTCAGCGGTCGGCGCAAACGACGGCTGCCATGTAGTCCGAAATGCAACCGTTAATAAAGATGTACGGTTATCCAGAAAAAGAAAATCTAAGGGAGTTAAAAGGAAGCGTATGGAGAAAGACGTAAATGGCTACAACGAGGTAAAACCCAAGAGGTACAGGAAATTGACATCAGCAGTTGTGGGAATAGAAATGGCTTCACCGACGGAACAGGACGAAAAGAATGAAGCAGTATGGATATGGCGGGAAGAAAGGCTTGAAAATATTTTGCCTCATCTGAACGAAGAATCTGAGGAAATCGTCAAATTATATGCCAGCTACGCAAAGAAAATCTTCACCGGTACATTCTTCAAAAAATTGTGCAAAACCACGAACATAAAGAAAAATAACAACAAGGAAGAGAAAAACCCGTTCAGAAAAAGGGTTTTCCTAGTTTTTCATCGGTGGAAGATGGATTCATGCTGCAACTGGCTGCTGGATGTTGTGGGTGCCGTAACCTAGCTGTAAAGAGCATATTATTATTATGTAATTATCTCTATTAAAATTAGAAATTATGTTTGGCATTTTTATATATTTTAAAATTTTAGAGATTATGATATAACATTCAACCGATTGTTAGTACTAAGGAAATTATGTGTATTTCATACATTTTATTTATTCATGTTTTATTAAAAGATTGGGATCTTTTAAGGCCCGCAGTTTGTACAGTTTAGTGAACTGTACGTAATTTTGGAGTCAGGTAGTCAGAGGGAAATACTTGTTTTCTAAGATTTCTATTTTTAATGAAGATGATAAAATAGGTTATTTATGACTCTCACGCAGTGTGTGTGTGTGCAGGTCTCAAGTGGAACGTCAATAGTGCGTTGGTAAATAGAAATAAAGATTGCTGCACACGGTGTGTTAATGGGTCACACCATAAGAGTGCATTGTCTGTGTGTATTTTTGGGTGATCGTAAATAAAGACCATAAATGTGTCCAAACCCAAATCTATTTACACATTCAATGTATGTATTTGAAATGCATTGTAGTTCTATGTATTAATATATAGGTTTAGAGTTAAGAAGATATTTTAAATAAAATGAGTTCACCTCGAACCAAGGAACTGTCAACACCGTGCGTTTCTTTTTTTCTCTAGTTTCTCCCGTCGCACATTTGTGATGAGATCAGGAGTCATCTCATCACTTAGCTAAAATTAAACTAGCTCGTTCGACGTTTTTCACCACAAAAGTAGAACACATGTATTTATATGTACGTTACCGAAATACGTCGACGTACGAATTTTCAAAGTTGAAAAAATTCAACTATGACAGAACGTATTTTTGTCTTTTCATTTGTTGAAAAAAGAAACAAAACATAAAGCAAATACGAAAATTTCAATAAGAATATGAAATAATTGGACACATTTTATAATTTTTCAAGTTTATTTCTCGATCTTGTTTAGCTCGCTAAGAGATATGGCCTCGACGTATTTGGGTAATACGGTCGTTGGGGAAGTTGAATATTTTTGTACGCCTCGTTGGATTTTAGGTAACGTTGTAACTCACAGCCATACCTAAAATTCAACTAGCTCGTTCGACGTTTTTCACCACAAAAGTAGAATACATGCATTTATATGAATGTTACCGAAATACGTCGAACCTTCAAGTTGAACAATTTAAACTTTGACAGAACGTATTTTTCATATTTGAAATTTATTTATTTATTTCATAAATCCACTGTTCTAATTATGACCAAAAAATTGGAACCCGAGCCATGGTGCATGGGTACGAAGTTTAAATACTGTAGTATTATTGTATACAAAAATTATATTGATACATTTTGGAAGTCAGTGATTGTGTGTTGTCGGGTCAGCTAGAGTATAGAGCCGAATCCGACAAACCCCGCACTCTTGGTCTCATTGAGGGTTATTTATGTGTAAACATTCACAACATACGACTCTCTATCTGTTCCAGGTAATACGCAATACAATGCATGATATTCATTACTCTCATTGATATTGTAGACTTGTTCTTGTATTCTATAATACTGAATGTTGTGAGTTCGAGTTCTATCGTTTTATGATACCAATGAATACAGAAATCGCTATACCACGCACAACGAAGAACAAAATAACTTTAGTGGTTGCATTCATCCACATTCATTCATCCAAAGTATTTGGGTACACTGAGTACGAACGAACATTCATGAATGCGGATGGGGATTCATTGTACTTCAATCGGTCTATATGTCCATACGTAAAGATCTACATTATTCATTACATTTCATAAAAAACTTTATTTGAATTATATTTAATCTTATTGAGCATGTGCGATTGTATTTCTGTTTCATTAAAAGGTTGTAAGCGTTCGTCTTCACTTTTGACAAGGAGCGTCTAATATGTTAAGGCTGTTATAATGGAGTGCAGGTCACTATTAAATCTAAATTTCACTTGCAATATACTCCATCCAGTGCTCCTCTAACATTTTGAATTTCGTTTTATATGCAGCTTTGAAGATTCAAGTAATTCGTAACAGGGATGTAAGCAGGGGGCGGCCCGGAGGGCCCGGGCCACCCCCCCCTCGAAATGAAATCCTGTGTACGTCGCTGATTCGTAATATGTTTTCCATTCCATACATTTTTTAAATTGGACTCACAGCGATTTTTGCATGGTTAAATATAATTGAATATTAAAATTTACCTTAGTGTTAGAATAGATTTTACTTCGTTTTCTGATATACGCCACGTAGTAAGCTCTGAAGAATGCTGGGGATTCCAATATTCGTTGATTTCTGAAACTTTTTCTAAATTCAATATTGTGGCTATTTGTGTCAATCGAGTCATCTTATCTCGGACAGACCAAGACGTCGCACTTGCAAGATATGCACCTAGGGCACGAACTTCCTGATCCAGCACTAATCCACCCAACTAAAAATAAACAAAGATAATTTGAAAATTAATAGATATGTGTTCATACAGTGCTAGGGCAATATTGCAAATTTTTTAATATTCCATTTTCGAAAAAACGGTTTTTTGTTTTCGTAATACATCAATGATTTTTGGACATTTCAACAGTACGACTGATTTGTATCTGAAAGGATTGACGTAATGCCATGCCCTGCGCAGTCACCGGATCTTAAACCTATAGAAAAGTTGTTGGCAGATATTAAACGATGTGTGGCTAATGCGAAATCAGTGACAAAAGCCAAACTATGGGATGTAGTTGAATAAACATGGGCCTTGATACCACAACAGCGATGCAAGGACCTTATCCTATATCCGTGCTGTTTGCTAGGCTGTAATTTAAAAAAAAAAATAATAAGCCAGAGTTATACGTGTATCAAACTATTGCTTTTATCCAACATTTTGTTATTTTCGTTTTATATTACTTACAACGATTGTTATGAACAGGGCATATTTGGGCTATTTTCTTTTATTATTATTATTATTTTAATAGGATTTTTTCCGATATAAATGTGTTGAAAATAATAAAAAGTCATAAACTATTTATTTGTGCAATTAATTAAGTGTTTCTAAACAATTTTACAGTTCAGTACTTACAACCCAACTGCACTACTATTTTAATGAACACAACTGTATGTTTTCCCAGGATTTTTATTTATTTTTTTCGAACGTTTCTACGTCTGACTTTCCCAACCCTGCCTATCAATGGGGTGATCTCCCTTTTCGTACGGATCGCATACACACCATAATCCAGTGCAAACAGTAGAAATTGTTTCTGACCTGATCCAATGTTTTTGGCATATATTGCAACTCTTTATCACCTTTTATTTTGTACTAACCTAACATATTTTCAGGCGTTTTTTATTTTATTTCAGTTTTATTTTTAACAATGGCATGTTTATACAAAGATTGCAATATTAAAAATATAAATGAACGATTAATTACTTGCTGGTTATGCGATAAACATGCTCATTTAAAATGTGCTGGTTTTAATGGTAGGCATAATGGGAAATCACTTATCGCCTGGTTCATCTCCGGTCATTACTCATAATGTACCTTCCATAGCAATTGATGAGTCCCCTAGGTCATCAGTGGTTGTAAATGAAGCCTCCCCGGTTAGTGCTAATCTACCTGCTGTCGTTAATGAACCTTCGGTTAATAACGGACCCCCTCCTTCGAGGGGCCGTCGCGCCGTGTAAAAGTATATTTATATCCAGGCTTCATGCTGATACCTCGACTGACAACATTCTGTCTTATTTAAAAACCAAAATTCCGGATATTTTTCAGAATGAAATAAAAATCTATAAATTTAATTCATCGCTACCCCGGGATATTTCATCATTTAAGATCGTTCTTCCGGGTAAATTATTTGATAAATTAATTGATAAATCATTCTGGCCTGACGGGCTATTAGTGAAAGAGTTTGTATTTGGAGAAAGAGCAAGAGGTTAACCCAGTAGTTATTTCTTCGGAATCAAAAAACTAAAACTTGTTAATAGCTTGTCTTTTTTATATCAAAACGTCAGGGGCTTAAATATTAAGCTCAGAAGCCTATACATTAAAAATTTTTATTGTGATTATAAGGTGATTGTGTTCACAGAAACATGTCTTAAGCCTGATATTAAAGACACTGACATTTTTTCTGATAGGTTTCAAGTCTATAGAAAAGACAGGTTATACAAAATTGGTGGTGGTGTTTTGATTGCTGTCCACAACTCAATTTCATCTGATCTAGTATTTTTAGAAACTAACCTTAATGTTGAATTAATTTGCGTAAAGCTATCGTATCTTGGTACTATTACTTATATATCTTGTTCATATATTCCTCCTAATTCAGATATTGAGATATATAATAGACATGCCGATTTAATAAGCTACATCTCGGATTTACTCTCTGAAACATCTGTGTTAATTTGCATGGGTGATTTTAATCTTCCAAATGTTTCTTGGGTGGCAGGTGATAACAATTTAGATTTCATACCGGCGGTAAATAATACTGGACTAGATACTTTTTGGGACAAAATATATGATAAATGTTTGTACCAAATTAATTATATCTTAAATGTTAAGAATCGGATTTTGGATTTAATATTTTCATCCACGTAAAATATTTCTCTAAATAGAGTTTCACCCTTTGTAGAACCTGAAGGCAAGTATCGCCCTACGTTTTCAATTAACCTTGAACTAAAAAATGTTTCAAATAAATCTAAACCACTTAAAAACACGAATCCCTCATACAATTTCGCTAAGGCAAACCTTTCTGAACTGAAATGCATCCTGTCTAATACAAATTAGTGCTTCAATAATGATATTGATACGTGTGTTGCAAATTTCTACAATGAACTCAACAGTGTTTTTTCCAAATGTGTTCCTTTGACTAAAGGGTTTGTTGACCAAGGTCCTGGCTGGTTTACACCTTCTTTAAGGCGACTGCGTAATATTAAAAGTAGGCTCTTTAAGAAGTTTAAATAAAGCAATACTTTACAAAATTTTTCGAAATATGTTGTTGCTCGAAATCAGTACAATACTGAGAATTCAAAATCGTATTCACTTTAATTTTCAAAAATTAAATATAATTTAAAAAATAATCCCAAAAGTTTCTATAAGTTCGTAAACTCTAAAAGAAAGGTTAATAAATTCCCAAGTAGTATGAGATATGGAAGTAGAGAATCATCTGATAACTCAGAAATTTCCAATATGTTCGCAGATTTCTTCGAATCATCCTATTCTTCTATTGCATTAAGTAGTCAATATGACTTTTTTTATCGAAAAACTTAATAACTTCCCAATATTCTGGCGATCTTGTTATATTATCCCTCTTCACAAATCTGGAAATAAAAGTTTGGTAGAAAATTACAGATGTATTGCAAAACTAAACGCTATACCTAAACCTTGTGAGCTATTGATATGTCGTAGATTAAAACATTTCACAAAATCTATAATATCGCCTTTTCAACATGGTTTTATTCAAGGCAGATCTAAAACTACAAACCTTTTGTAATTCATTAATGAAGTTCACAAGGGTTTTAGTAAAAAATTGCAGACAGATGGTATATACACTGATTTCAGCAAAGCATTTGATACGGTAGTTCATAAACTGTTGCTTTTTAAACTTAGTCTTATGGGATTTCCTAATACATTCTTAAATTGGATATCTACCTACTTAGAAGGTCGTTCGCAGAAAGTGTTACTTAATGACTCATTATCCAGGAATATCACTGTCTTATCGGGGGTTCCACAAGTTAGTCACTTAGGACCTCTTCTTTTTATTCTCTACATCAATGACTTTCCTTCCGTTATCCGCTTTTCAAAAATACTAATGTATGCTGATGATGTTAAGCTTTTCCGGCATATCGAATCTTCAAGTTGGCTAACTGGTGTAGCGCCAATGGAATGTTTTTAAATCTTAAAAAATGTAAGAAGCTATCATTATTCAGAATGCAACAAATCTGCATTGATTATCACATTGGTTCTTATAAGTTGGAAAATATTTCGTCTTTCGTAGATCTAGGAGTAATATTGGACCCTAAACTGAGGTTTAATCGCCATATAGAGTCTTGCATTAATAAAGCAAAATCTTTATTAGGATTCATTAAGCGCTGGTCCAAAGAATTTGATAATCCTTACGTTACAAAACGCCTATTTATTACTTTAGTTCGACCAACACTAGAGTATGGTTGTATTTTATAGAGCCCCTCCTGTTATTCTGATAAAATAGAATCTGTCCAAACTCTATTTTCTTTTGTTTGCTTTGCGGGGTCTACAATGGGACCCATCTGTAAGGCTCCCCCATATGAACGTCGCTTAATGTTAATAGATTTGCCTACCCTTGAAAGTAGACGTTTTATGCTAAGGGCGATTTTTATAATAAAATTGATACGTGGCTTAAGCTATTCCCCTAATTTATTAAGTGAAATAAATTTCAATATTCCATCCCAATAAATTTACCGCTCGTAAGATCAAATTATGAAGATAGTAGTCCAATGCGAACTTTGTGTAAAATATTTAACAATATATACAGTAGCTTATCACTGACTGAACCATTAGATTAGCTGAGTGACAGATGTGTAGTTTGTGTAGTTTTTAAATATTAGAGTGATTCTGTATTTACTTTAATTATAAATGTGTTTATTTATAGTAGTCTATGCCGGCTGATAAAATATGTAGCCGGTCATCCCACCATTTACTAACCCCTCCATAGTCCGGACTATGGGGTTTCGCGTTCCCTTCGATATAGGGAGGTCGCCCCCACGGTCGGTTGGGGCGGGTGTGAGTGGCGTGGGACCGAACGAAAAAAATGAAAGAAAGAAAAAAAATCGATTTGAACTATCAAAGACTCACCCCTCCCATTTTAGTAAAGACGCGATTTTTGTTCAGTATAACAGAATTTAAAGTCGTTTTTAAAAAGAACCCGCGAAAATAAATGTTAAGTCAAAAAATATGTTAATTCGACATCCACTACCTCAGAAGCTTCTTCACATTAATTTACTTATTTTTTATGTTTCTCTTTGGGAACCATGGAAAGGGACTATGTTGACATTCAGAAAATAGAGATGGAAATCTAAAATATAGCTTAAATATTTCAAATAGAATAAAATTCACAAATATTTTGGAAAGTTAGCACTAAATATTGTACTACAGTGAATAAGATATAAAAATGTGAAATTTAGTTATCAAAATAGTGTACTGAAAGATTTAATAAAAGCAACCGACTTTTTATATTTGGTCCTCATTGGGTAACAAATGTCCCTACCACTAATTTTCGGTATTTTAAGCCTATTAAATATTGTATATGGGTGTAGGGCGATCAAAAGTGGTAGAATTTGCAATTAAAATATAATAAATATTATTTATACAATATAATACTCCAAAACAACAATACGTTATGAATGAAATTCCATAATGATATGTGCTCTTTTTGGTAGCAAATATATATATATATATATTTTTTTTTTTTTTTTTTG